AGTGCGAACATGAGACAACACTCCTAACCACTCCGCCATGGAGAGGCACTCGCTTTTTGCTTTTCGTCTAACCCAGAAACGAAAGTGAACGAAATTAATCGTGAATGATTCAGCCAATTTCAGAAAGAGTCTCAAGGTCTTCGAAGCTTTGTTCCTGAAGACCATGGATCCCTAGTTTCTTGCTTTTTTCTCCTTTCTTCGGAGATCTCCAAAATTAGGTCTGACCTTTCACCCCCCTTTGGCTCCCTTTGATTTTCAAAGGGTGGCGCCACCGGGAGCCAAAGGGTCGGACCACCCCTTCGGTTCCTTTTATATTTACAGAGGTGGCGCCACCAGGAACCGAAGGGGCGGTCGGGTCAGACCGCCCAGCGCCGGGCTTTGGGTAAAAACCAACGTTCGATGACTCAGTAGACTCCTTGTTTCATTCTGCGCCGTATATCAAGCAACTGAACAGTCGCTTATAATGCAGTTGGTTGCTTTATGCCATGACAATGTCGGGTATTGGAATCGACAACTGAGAGCGGCTCGAACGTCGATGCCACATTTTCCATTACTTGTTTCCTTCCATTTACAAAAATCCTCCCAAGATTTCACTGACTTCGAATTGAATCCTATCTTAGCTTATTCATGTCATATCTTATTAGTACCTCAAACTTGGGTAATTAAACCAAACAATTGATGACCAACTCGATTACGCGCCGTATAATTGATTGTGGACTGTTCTGCTCTGCAAAACGGAGCAGGGCAGAATTTAATGTAGCAGTAAGGGGTAGTCGGCCACGGGTAATCTAAAGCCAAAGTTTCGTGGCTATCTGATTCGTGGTTCCTTAGAAAATTCTAAAACTTAAATAGTTGTTTCAAATAAAAATAGTTTTGTGTTGTTGTTTTGATTTGTTTTCTTAAATAGTTTTGTAGTGAAGAAGCCGTGCGCAATGATTACAGCAATCATATTTATATGTAGCACATGTGTGTGTGAACAGAAATCGCTGGTGGGTGAAGCTGTCTGGGAAGGACTTAGCTAAAAAATGTGAGCGTATGCGTGTATGTATGTGTGCGTCAATAAATGTACGCAAACAATCAGCCCCAGCGAGGACTCGAACCTTTAATATAGCTCCTTTTAAGGGCGCCTATATAGTGAAATAGGAGCAGATTCGAAATCTCCGTGCTTTTCTATATCCGGAAGGTGTAAAATTGTTTAACATATCTCATCTTTAAAGGTTACATGGTTATGAACTTGACGCTAAAGACTGCGTTTCTTGCTGAATGGTGTACTCCTCCCTGTAATTTCACACACACGTCTGGACCCCTTCATTTTTCCTGAATTCAGATTCCTTCTCCAAAGAGCTGCAGTTGAAGCCGACTGGGCCCACTCTGGGATGCGGCATGTGCTTCACATCCTTTCAGTTTCGAGGACTCACTCGAAAGATAAAATATCCCTTTGGAAAACGTGCGAATTTCGGATTCTTAAACTTGTGTTGGGTGATTACTCCGATTCCGATGGGGGGGGGGGGGGGGGGGCACTCCATTGCTATCTTATCCGTAGTACTAGAGAGCAGTTCTTTGGGCTATCGAACACTACGGATAAGATAATAAGTGAACGACTCATTTCGAGCGTACTTTTGATAAGGACCGGTGGATGTCCTACATTCCACACTACCTGCCCACATCCCATCCACTTTTCTGCACAGGTGATCCACCCTGGAGCTCCTGCACCCTTAGCCCTTTGCGGAGGTGTCCTTTCTCCTGGTCCAGGACCGTTCCCTTGGGTCATGGCAGGCGGAAATGTGAAAACGTTTCAGGGTTTCTCACCCATTACACCAATATTTATCAGAAGTCTACTTTAAATGAGTCGATTACGTGTCGTGAGCCCTCTAATCCTTATCTTGAGTATTGGAGAAAAAATGGAGTGCCCCCCCCCCGAACTGGAGTTTCATTCTTGTGTTGCGATAAAACACTGAAGTAACCAAGAACTGCCAAGCGGACACCTCTAAATCACGAAGATTTTGTGTGGGCGGAATCAATTGGAAATACTCTGGCCTGGCATCGACTCGATCCTTGATGTTTGTCCTCCGACGATGATCCTACTGCATCAATCTGGCCCGATCTCTTCCTCCCAGCGGGCCAATACGACCCCCCCCCTGTGACGTGTCGAGGATTCCTCAACGCACTCTTGATCCGGGGCTGAACTAATACGACCACGTCCTCGACACGATTTTCACCCTGATCGTTATGATCATATGAACTGGTTCCGCCCACTGGTACCGCTACCGCGCATGCCTTACCAAACCTATCCATAACCGTTCACGCTCTGAGGACACCTCCCAACACGCTTGGGTTACTTCCCACTCCCACTGGCCAAGTCACTGTTTACGATACTTTCAGGGATCACGACATCTGCTCATTTTTGGACAAAAAGTTACCGTTTCAGGTAATAGACAAGCTGAATCGATCTGTACATTCACTGGCCAGGAGCGCTTGGCTCACTGTGCCACTACTTCCCAGAAAGTCTCACCTTCACACGCGATATTTGGTCCTGCGCTCAATAGCGGGAGCATAATTCTTCTTATCTCCAACCAGAACAAGAAAATACAATTTTTTTCTGCCAATCCGACGTTCACACAATTCTGAGACAATTCCTTCTTTCCACATCAACGCATGCCATACACACGAATCGAATCCATATGAACTTGTTGAACTGAATGGACAGTACTATGTCTTTCATCCTAGCAACTGTAATAATTACATATGAATTGCTACCAGTGCTCGCTCGGAAGGCGTTCAGTGCATATGTAAAAAAAAACAAAATTTGTACAAAAATGGCAAAAATGTATAAAAACATTAGATTTTTGGTCATGACATACTCTTGTTTGTCAACGTGGTCCACTTTCCTAATCACTCGGCTTCGCTGCAAGCCAGGCGATTATGGAGGGGTTGCTGATCCAGTATTACTGCACGATTCTGAACTTCCATCAATGGCTGAGTCAAAATCATTATATTTATCAGCTTTCCTGGAATGGGCAGGGTACAAATCATCCTATATGAGCTAGAAATGTTGTGAGTGTAGAGCGAGTATTGATGGAAATACGTTATTGTATAGTTAGTAATGTAAACAGTATAATGTCATTGTTGTATATTTTAGCGGAAACGAATCCTTCTGAGAAATTCACCTAACGTCTCTGATATTTTTTCCACACAAGCATACGTTTGCTGGCCGTTTCAGCGTGCGCGGCGATTCCTGGCGTTATGGTAGGCAGAGTCAACCCTGCGTTGCGCAGTTTCAACGGCCACGTTGCGCAGTTTTCGCCCGATTAGACACGTTCTCTCGCGCGAACATTCACACTCGCATGCTCGAGCCGTCTGTGTCTCCGCCCATACAGCGTGCGTTGAGGATCTCTCGACGTTGCCGTGTTTGTGCGAGCGTGGGGGCGGGGCAACGCAGGGTTGACTCTGACATAAGGCGCAAGCGTTCGCGAACCTGATTGTGGTGTGTGTTGGGCAGCATCGGGAACGCGGCGCATGCGTCCATACACGAGTTTCAGAGTGTAAAATAAATCTAATATATTGGTCGCGTCCTAATTAGAGGAACGATATACCCCGCGCGTAGCAGTTAATCATCGTTTCAGCCTGCGTGTTGCAATCAAGAGGGTACTGATGTAGCGTGACTTTATCCAGCTGCGTCGAATCAATGTAGAATGTTGCATTCGCAAAAAAAAAACGATATGAGTGGACTTTGGTTCATTTTTGATCGAATTAATATATAATTTATATAGTTTGGTGGCGCAGCTCCGCTCTTTGCTGACGATCGCGTCCGAACATCGAACATCGAAGCATTTTTGTATTTTTGAATGCTGACTCTTTGTCGACAGACGATTTGAAAAGAGTTTATATGCAGCAACCTTACGATCACGCTGTTATGAGATGGATGAATTCCGGCGGTGCTCCATTTTTCTCTCTTCTCTCTTTGTAATCTAAAAGAAGCTGGGCCGATATGTTCAGGAATAGGAATATGACACTAGATCCGGGACAGCTGACATGGGATACGACCATGCTTTAATTAGCCTGTCAGCATTTCTGCTGAAGCAAGCGTTATGGCGAGGATGCAAGATTATAGAGGTATAGTGGCGGTCAAAAGTGTTCACCGAAGCGCTTTTTCGTGCATTTCAATTCTTTACTCCAGAGAAAGACCTGAAGATTAGTTTGAAGCCTTCCTTTCAAATATTCTAAACTCTCGATTAAGTCAAGCTTTGAGGCTTCAAATGCTATGCTATCAATAGTCAGCGCACGGTGTGTGTGTGTGTGTGTGGTTTATGTTGGGGTGGGGACAATGTGCAGTGCACGGAAATACATTTCGGCGGGAGACGTTGACTGCTAGCTGTGAACGAGACGAAGATCTCGCATCCTTGTCTACGGTTAAGCTAAATTACTAGCGAGAAATCTTTTCTCAGAAATAGTGAAAAGTCGATATTTCAAAGTAGTTTTTGTGTATTATAGTAGTACATGTATGGAGCCTGGAAATAAGATTCGTTTTTCTGAGCGGCCCTTCTTAGTGCCAGTAAAGAAGCGAAAGATTTGCTCCAGAATTGCAGTTTTTACGGCCTAGTGACGTTGAGACCGCGTAGACTGACCAAATATTGAAAGGTTCCCGTAGACTGGACATCGAAGATAAAGAAACGCCCATACTCGTGAAGAGTAGGGAGCGTCGGTGCCCTACTTGTGAAGGTGGTCGAGTGTTGTAGTGAATGGTGATGTAGCACAGCAAGGAGGAGATCCTGGGATCGCCTGCTCCTCGCTCTTGGCGCTTTGCATCTTGGTCCGACATTTGCATTTTAACGCCAAATGCTAGCAGCAGCAAATTGGATACCATATTAGCGATTAGGACCGCCAATAATCTTCGTACGAAAAGGATTTTCGAATAGGTTGCTGCGCCAGAATAGCGCTCAATGATCCAGGCGTCGAAAATGACTATTATTTATATCCGTGATCGGGGCAGATTATAAATTATGACAGGAAAGCGAAACTTCAACGTTACCAACAAAGTGGGCTCCTGGTAAGTCGGTAGCCCGTAAGTTCATCCCTGGGGAAAGACATGGAGACGAATTCCTGGTCATTCTATCCGAGTCGTTCTTCTCAAATGAACAATACTACAAATTCAAGCTCCACCTGATGGCCGGAAAAACCCATCACCTCACCTGTATCGCCTGTCGTCGTGTTCGTCGATTTGTTCGACCTGCGCCAACAATGTCTCCACTCGTCCCTGTCGCGTGGTGGAGTGGTC